GATCTTTATTGCTCTCCTCTAGACACTCCCTAGAAGCTCCACATCCCTCTTGTACTGGGGAGCGCAGAACTGTCCATAATACACTAGGTGCGGCCTTACCAGAGCTGAGCAAACTGGCACRYTTGCTTACCTGCTTCTCCTTCCCATCTCTGGATCTGGTAGTGGCTCCTCTGTATGCGGTGGTGCCTTCAGCACTGAACCCCTTCATCTAAAGCATGAGGAACAAGGRGATGAAGGATGCCCTGAGGAAAYTGATTTTGTGGACTTTTTTCAGTACTGATAAAATTGCCATTTCCCTCCACASTGACACTTTCTGTATCTCAGCTGGATTGAGCACTGTTTCTTCATATTATTTTTATTGTGTCTTTTATTAGTAATAATAATACTTGTCATTTTGCTACATGAGTCCTTAGAGCTGTAGTACTTTTTCTGAGACTGCTCTCTCTCACCCTGGTCCATTAATTTGTGTCTAACAGTGGATCAGGACTGGCTCCGCCACTGGTTCCTGTGTACTAATAAATGTTCTACCCAGTGCACTGCCTGGAGGATGAGCTTCCTCCACAGCTACTGTCAGTAATATACCCAAGAACCTGCACACTGGAAGGGCCTGCTGAGCAGCTTTCTCCATGGGTTCAGGATCAAAAAACTCATCATCTGCACAGAATCACAGAATCATTAAGGTTGGAAGGGATCTCTAGGGCTTTAGCCCTAGCCCTTTACACCTATACCTTACCCTTTTACCCTAGTCCTTTARCTCTTTAGCTCTTTAGTGCACACCTTTTAACCCTAAACCCTCTAGCCTTAGCCCTAAGMCCCTTAGCCCTTCAACYCTAAGGTGTTTAGCCATAATCCCTAGCCCTTTAGCCATAAGCCCTTTAGTCTTAAGCCCTTTATTCCTGAACCRTCCTAGCACCAAACCSTATAGCCCTGTAGCCTTCGCCCTTTCTCCTGAGCCTTTGTCCAAGCCTTAAGCCCCTTAGCCCTTTAGTTCTAGCTCTTTATTTCTAGCCCTTTAGCCCTAAGGTGTAACCTTAGTCCTTTACCACTTGCCCTTTAATCATAGCCTATCATCCCCAGCCGTTTAGCCATTTAACCCTTCAGTCCTGTCCTAGCCCTTTAGCCTTAAGCCCTAGCCCATTAGCCCTAGTCCTATAGCTCTTTACCACTAGTCTTTTACCCTAGAGCTTTAGCCCTAGAGCTATTGCCCTAAGCTGTAACCCTTTAAACCTAAGCCTTTAAGCCCTGAGCCTTTTAGYCCTGGACCTTTGGCCGTCGTGGCTTAGAACTCAGCCCTAGTCCTTTAGCATTTAATCCTAGCCCTGGATCTTTAATCACAACCCTTTAGTTCTGGCATTTTAACCACAGTGCTTTAGCCTTAGCCATTTAGTCCTAGCCCTTTCATCCTAGCTCTTTAAACCTAACCCTTTCGCCCTACCATTTAGAGCTAGATCTTTAGTCTTTTGACCATGGCCCTTTAGCCTTAGCCCTCTACCTATAAGCACTAGCCATTTAGCCCTAAGCCCTAACACTTTAACCATAAGACCTTTAGCTGAAAATCACATAGCCCTATCCCTTAAACCCTAACCCTTACAACCCTAAGCCCCTTACCATTTAAACATATGGCCTTTAGTCCTAAGTTCTTTAATGCTAACCCTYTCATCCTAAGCCCTTTGGAACTAAGCCCTAAGGCCACTACCACTTGCCCTTTAACCCTAGCCCTTTAGACATGGTGMTAAGCCATTTATCCCAAAGCCCTTTAGTCCTAAACTCAATCCTTCTCCACTAAGCTCTAGACCTTAAGTCCTAGGCTTTTAGCCCTAAGCACTTCAGCCCTTTAGCCCAAATCCTTTGGTATTAAGCCCTAGAACTTCAGACCTTTAGCTGTAACTCTTTGGGCCTAAGCCATAGGTCTGTCCCTAATAGCTGTACCTCTCACCCTTTAGCCCTACCCATTTAGCTCAAAATTCTTGCCCTTTGGTCCTATCCCTTTAGCCTTAGGCCTTTGCCCATCGCCCTACAGCCCTAGGTGCTNCTAAGGTGTTTAGCCATAATCCCTAGCCCTTTAGCCATAAGCCCTTTAGTCTTAAGCCCTTTATTCCTGAACCGTCCTAGCACCAAACCGTATAGCCCTGTAGCCTTCGCCCTTTCTCCTGAGCCTTTGTCCAAGCCTTAAGCCCCTTAGCCCTTTAGTTCTAGCTCTTTGTTTCTAGCCCTTTAGCTCTAAGGTGTAACCTTAGTCCTTTACCACTTGCCCTTTAATCATAGCCTATCATCCCCAGCCGTTTAGCCTTTTAACCCTTCAGTCCTGTCCTAGCCCTTTAGCCCTAAGCCCTAGCCCTTTAGCCCTAGTCCTATAGCTCTTTACCTCTAGTCTTTTACCCTAGGGCTTTAGCCCTAGAGCTATTGTCCTAAGCCATAATCCTTTAAACCTAAGCCCT